CCGTAAAATTGCCAATTTAGTCTCTAAGTCTTTTCTGTTTTTGAATCAGTATCGAAGGAGGCCCCTAAGTGCTTCCTAATTTTGGGTTGAATCCATGTCTTGTCTCAGAATTGAAAGGTCCTTGGTGCTCTCTGTATTTGGTGGTTTTCTTGCATGAATAGAGTAGAATAGAATAACAAAGAATGGAATGCAATGGAATGGAATGGAGAATAGAATAGAATAGAATAGAATAATAATGGAATGGAATGGAGAATAGAATAGAATAGAATAGAATAGAATAGAAATAAGGAATGGAATGGAATGGAATAGAATAGAATAGAAATAAGGAATGGAATGGAATGGAATGGAATAGAATAGAATAGAATAGAATACAGAATGGAATGGAATGGAATGGAATAAGAGCAGAATAGAATAGAATAGAATAGAATAGAATAGAATAGAATAGAATAGAATAGAATAGAAATAAGGAACGGAACGGAATGGAATAGAATAGAATACAGAATGGAATAGAATAGAATGTAGAATATAGAATAGAATATACGGAATGGAATAGAATACGGAATGGAATAGAATATGGAATGGAATAAAATAGAATAGAATATAGAATAGAATATAGAATAGAAGAAAGAATAGAATAGAATAACTTTATTGTCACTTTGAATGTACACTAATCAGCATACATTAAAATGAAATTTCACTGCATTCAGCTCTCTGATACACACTACATAAACATGACCAAAAATTATTCATATATCCACATACCCATATATGTTCTATGACACAGAAAAACAACACAGTCTAGTTTGGATGTATACATATACACGGCGAGAAAAAAGAATCCTGCAAATTTACCAGATGGATGGCATAGGGAGCAAAGCTATTACAGAATCTACCGTGGTAGTTCTGCTATAAATACTTCTAAACCTCCTCCCAGAGGAGAGCAACAGAAACAGACCATGAAGTGGGGGTGTGGGGCCTCTAACAATGAATGCTTCGAGCTCTAAGCACATATAAGTGCTTAGAAGCCGTATCCTGAATGACGGGAAGCGAGCTTCCTATGATCTTCTCAGCTGCCCTTACCTCTCTCTGTGTGGACCTTCTATCTGAGGCTTTGCTATACCACCAAACCAGGCAGTGATGCAGTTTGTTAAAACGCTCTCAATCATGCCTCTGTAAAAAGTGGCCCGGACAGAAGGAGAAAGATGCGCTCTCCTCATTCGATGCAGGAAATGCAGACGCTGGTTTGCATGCTTCACTAAGGATGACGTATGAAGAGAGCAAGTCAGATTGTTAGTTATCTGCACCCGCAGATACTTGATACTGTTGACCACCTCCACAGCTGCAGCCTTGATACTGAGTGGAGTGTGACTATGCTGGCTCTTTCTAAAATCTACAATGATCTCCTTATGTTTTATCACCATTTAGAACTAGGTTATTTTTATGGCACCAGTCCATCTCCTCCCTATAAGCATCTTCATTGTTGTCCCAGATAAGACCCACCACTGCCGTGTCATCCGCATACTTCACAATATGATTCATACCAGACTTGGCATAGCAGTTGTGGGTCATCAAGGTGAACAGTAATGGACAGCATGACTAGGCAGCAGCCGCGCTAGAAGGGAAAGGAACAGGAAGATTCTGAGGTCGTGCTCTCTGAGCTTGGTTGTTTTCTTGCAGACGTTTCGTGACCCAGCTAGGCATCATCATCAGTGCTAGAAGGGAGTGGAGGAGGAGGACTCGGATCTGTGGTGCTCTCTGAGCTGGATTGTTTTCTTGCAGACGTTTCATGACCCAGCTAGGCATCATCATCCGTGCTAGAAGGGAGTGGAGGAGGAGGACTCGGATCTGTGGTGCTCTCTGAGCTTGGTTGTTTTCTTGCAGACGTTTCGTGACCCAACTAGGCAGCAGCATCCATGCTAGAAGGGAATGGAGGAGGACAGTGGAGTCCATGGTGCTTTCCGAGCTTGGTTGTTTTCTTGAAGACGTTTCACGACCCAATTAGGTAATGTCATCAGTGCTAGCTTGGGTAATGATTATTTAGTTTGGGGATGCGAGAAAACAGCCAGGTTCAGACAGCACCAAGGACCCCACAGTCCTGTTCCTCCATTGTGCAAACCCCATTTCCTTCTAGCACTGATGGTGTTCCCTGGTTGGGTCATGAAATGTCTGCAAGAAAGCACCAGGGACCCCTCCCTTCAAACCCTAAGCAACAAACAGTCTCCTTGATTGGCTCAGAATTCCTGACAGTGCAATTTGGAGTTGGTTCTTGAAAGTCGGTTTCCGCGAAGAAGGCAGTGTCTGGATCTGCACTTAGGGATTTCACGGAAGAGATGGTTACGCACGGCCTGGGAATTGACTTTCTCAGAAGCCCACTAGGCATGTTCCCATTAAACCCCAGGCCGGTTCACGTCAGTTCATTTGGCTTGGAACGGGGCAGGCGCCATCTTGAATTTCTTGGCCCTTCTCCCAGCTGTGGAAAGTCTTCGCTTGAGCAATTTTCAAGCTGCGGAGTTGACTTTCACGTACAGGCAGAGAATCTTCAACCTGTCAGAAAGGAGGAGAAGCGTCTGGTTTTGGTTGAAGCTTTGGGGTTTCTTCTAATCTTTGGAATTTCTTTGAATCCCAGATGGTCCTCTTCCTCCTCCTCTTTTGAAAGGCCTCCAGAGCAGTGGACCTCATCCCTTTCTTTACAGTCATGCATTCCACCAACTTAATGACGGCTTGCCTAAGGAATGTCTGCTTTCCTCCGTTGCAAATTTATGGAAAACCACCTTAGGAGGACATGTCCAAAAAAAGCTCCCTCAACATTGGTTATTTTGCAAAGCTCTTTCATTTGATCCCAGGTTTCCCCCTAAGCTTGAAATTCCTTGAAATGCGCTCCCTCTCTTTCTCTCTCTCTCTCTCTCTCTCTCCCTCTCTCTCTGTCTCTCCCTCTCTCCCTCTCTCTTTCTCTCTCTCTCTCTGTTGCTCTCTCTTTCTCTCTCCCTCCTTCTCCCCCCTCTCTCTCCCTCTCTCTGTCTCTCTCTCTCTTTCTCTTTCTCTCTCTCTCTCTCTGTCTCTCTGTCTCTCTGTCGCTCTCTCTCTTTCTCTCTCCCTCCTTCTCCCCCTCTCTCTCTCCCCCCCCTCTCTCTCTCTCTCTGTGTTGTGTGTGTGTGTGTTGTGGAAATATGTCCTTTTCCCCTTGTTCTGGTTATTTTGTTTTTTCAGCTGCGCAGAAATGAAACTCTTGGTACCAAGCGAGTTGTTCTAAAAATGGCCACGCTGTGGTTTGGTTGAATTTCTTTTTTTTTTTCCAAATTTGGAAAGGAAGAAGGCAAATCCCTTGACGGTTCAGTGTGATTTTGGACGTTCAGCCCGAGAATGATGGGATCAGAAACAATTCGGTGAAGATGGTGGAAGTATAAAAAAACATTTTGAGTTATTTAGATACCAAGAGTCCAAGGCTTTGAAACTTTCTAGGAGTTACCCAGTTTGCGGAATTTCTTAATGCAGCTTGGCCACCACTAGTGACGGTTCTTTATGAAACATCTGGAGATCTTGGAGGTGTCTTCAGCTTCCACAGTTTAGTGAGTACACTCTCCCCAAAATTTTTTCTCCAAATTGAGTCCTCTCCAGATGTTTGGGCTGCAATCCTATCCAAAAATTCATTTCCCCCCCCCTCAGGAGGTAATCTTCAAATGACACATCCATGACAACTAAAATAGGAGCACCTTCTTGCTTCTGAGGTCCATTACCTTCAAGGACGTCTGTTGCCTTGAAAGGATAAGGGCACCTACTGTGTGATAATGGCTGTTTGTTTGTGTCACTTCAGCTCCTGGTATCCAAACCCACATTTCTGATTTCCCAAGTTATAAATAAATGTGTTATCTGTCTCTTCATAATTTGTCAAAGCTGTCCATGAGAGAATCCCTTATTGCAGACATGTCAAACCCAAGGCCCGGGGGGCCGGATGCGGCCCGCGAAGTGGTTTCATGTGGTCTGCAAAGCCATCCTGGAAACAGTGAGGGAACGGCCCCCACTGCCTTGGCCCTGGCCCAGGCTGGCCGGGAGCCGATGTACAATTTTGTGGTGGCCATCTATGCTGAAATGCATTCAGTCTTAGCTCCACAAGGCTGTCTGGAAACAGCGAGGGACCAGCCCTTGCCGCGTCGGCCCTGCCCCCTGGGTGCATGCTGGGGAGGTGTCACCCTTTGTGAGGAATGAAGAAATGGACCATGCCTTGGTGCTTGCCCTGGTCCCCCCCCCTTCTGCCAGAGACCCTCAGATCTGTCCCACTCCTGCCCAGGGCCCCACAGGCACCCTTGACGCGAACGATGTAGAGCTGGCCATGCCCACCCAATAGGCCACACACACTCTATCCAAACCCACCCAGTAGGCTGCACCCACCCTGGCCACACACCTCGCCCCCCCAGGGCAACCACAGTGCTGATGTGGCCCTCAATGAAATTAAGTTCGACACCCCTACCTTATTGGGATTATGGCGCCTTGCATCCTTATGAGTCTTAAACTTGAAGCGTAGGTACTAAAAGCCATAGAAACAGAAGGATAGAATCAATATCACGTGTTAATACCGTTTTATAAAGCCTTAGTCCACGTTCGGAATCTTGCATCCAGTTTTGCTCACCGCAACGTAAAAAAGATGTTGAGTCTCTAGAAAGATAAAGTCTCTAAAACATACGAGGAACGGTTGCTGGAATTGGGTATGTCTCAGTTTAATGAAGAGAAGGACGAGGGGGGACATGGTAGCAGCGTTCCAATATCTCAGGGGCTGCCCCACAGAAGAGGGAGTCAAGCTATTCTCCAAAGCCCCTGAAGGCAGGACAAGAAGCAACGGATGGAGACTAACCAAGGAGAGAAGCAACCTGGAACTAAGGAGACATTTCTTGACAGTTAGAACAATTAATCAGTGGAACGAGTTGCCACCAGAAGTTGTGAATGCCCCAACACTGGAAGTTTTTAAGAAGAGACTCTGAAATGGTACGGGGTTTCCTGCATGAGCAGGGGGTTGGACTAGAAGACCTCTAAGATCCCTTCCAACTCTGTTATTCTGTATTAATGTATAAACTGGAGATTTGGTCGTCTTCTCCAGGAATGGATCGATAATAAACTCTGTAGCGCTTATCTGGATTTTATTGCTAATATGAGCTAATGGCCGGAACTGCCCCCCAAATACTTTTGGCAGTAAATTTAGCACTGACATGCCCTGAAAGGGAAAAGGTGGCTTTTGACAACTTGATGAAAGTCCTTCTGGAGGTGACCGTAGGTAGGTGGAGCAGCGGGTAATAGAGGAAGCTTCTTACGAAGAACAGAAATTGCAGAACTGCAGAACTGAGAGTTTTCGATTTCTTATGAGCGCCAGTAAATGAATGGCAGATGATCGTTGATGAGGCCACCAGCCGTTTGATGGTAAGAGCATTGTTGTTCTCACCCTGTTTCTGTCTGACTAACAGGACTAGCAGATCCGTTGAGTTCTTGGCTGCAGTTTCCTTTGTGAGCTCGTGTCGATGGAAAGCTACAACTGCAGGAAATGAGACTCGGAGATGCCGAACCTTTTGCAGACACAGGGAATGTGGTACCAAATTTTGGGATCCATTGATGGACTTGGAATCCACAGTGGAGATGATAGATAAGCCCATTTATTGATGTGGCTGATGTAGGAGCCTTCAAGATTTTCTCCGGCTTGGATCTTCCAAGGATGCTGGGTGTGTCCCAGGCCGTGCGCTCCACTTTTATTACATCGCCTACATTTGGGGCAGGTCAGTGAAATGCATTTGAGTGAGATCTTCCTCCTTGCTCCAGCCTTGTTAGCCAAGTCCTTTTAGTAGCTGATCACATGGAGAACGTACGTTTGGCAAAACTGCTTCAGAATAGGAGGACCATCCTAGACGCATGTAGAAATTTGGGCGAAAAACCAAGGGAACGCATGTAGCCCTCGACTTCATTTTAGTGATCGTTCACAGTTGCAACGGCCCTGAAAAATGCGACTTAGGACCATTTTACGACCGTTGCAGCCAATCCCGATGGTTACGTGACCAAAATTAGGATGTTTGGCAACCGGTTCGTATTTATGACGATCGCAGTTAACGTAATCCCCTTCTGACAAGCAGTCCGTGGGGAAGCAAGATTAACGACTGTGCTACTAGCTCAGCAGCTGCAGTGATTCATTTAACAGCTGCATAAATGGGGCAAAGCTGACTTAACAAACGTCTCACTTAGCAACGGAAATGTTGCGCTCAAATTGTGGTCAGTTGAGGACGGAGATTGTACCTGAAGATTCCTGCAGTGCTGGCCTTTTGGGAGGAGAGCTTGATTGCCTGAATTCAACGTTGGTTGGTTGTTGTTTTTTTCTCAATTTTTTTCCTCCCGACACGGTTCTCTTTTCTTCGACAGTTGGGTTGCCAGCAAAAAAAAAATATTTTTTAAAAAAATCCCACAGCTTTGCTGCTGGAAGAAACGTTTTGCAATTGATGGCATCTCTGGGGGGGGGGGGGGAATATGTCTGGAGGGACCGTGCAACCAGAGGGAAGCCCTGCTCTCCCCTTGCACTCAACGCATCAATAAATTACGAGTTTTCTCCTTGACTTGACACACGGCAATCGGATCCTGGGAAGGTGGCATTTGATAAGAGCAAACTCGGAGGAGGGGGGGTGTCTGTGTGGTGGGGGCAGCCAAAGGCTATCTCCCAAGAGAAGGAAAAGGAAAAAGCTAATTTTAAAAGAGGCAGGCAGGCAGGGAGCTAACGGGAGTAGACTGCAGCCCTGCAGAGTGTTGCTGGCTGCTTTGCAAAGAATTCGCCAGTTCAGAACAGAACACTGTAGCAGAGCTTGGAAAAGACGTTGGAGGTCTTCCAAAATTGATTATCTGAGATTGGTTAATCAGAATAGAACTGGAAGGGACCTTGGAGGTCCTCTAGTCCAACCCCCTGCTCAGGCAGGAAACCCTATACCATTTCAGACAAGTGGCCGTCCACTCTCTTCTTAAAATGAAGCACCTATAATTTCTGGAGGCAGGTTGTTCCACTGGTTAATTGTTCTCAGTGTTAGGAAGTTTCTCCTTAGTTCTAGGTTGCTTCTCTCCTTGATTAGACCTGAGATCAGTTAATCTAGTGGTTCTCAACCTTTTTAATGCCGTGACTCCCAACCGGTTGTAAGTCGAGGACTACTCAACCGGTCGTAAGTCGAGGACTACTCAACTGGTGCAGCACCGTTTGCAGAATGGGACTTTTGGTGGGCTCAGCAGGGCAGAGACAGCCTGGACAATTCCTATTGGCTTTTGAAAGCCAATAGAATTAGACTCTATTCAAGAGAGTCTATTCTATTGGCTTTCAAAAGCCAATAGAATAAAAGGGAGTAGCACAGCTAAGGAAAAGGGGGGAAAAATGGCGGACTGCGTTGTTTGGCGACCCCCGTGAAATGGTCGTTCGACCCCAAATGGGGTCCCGACCCACAGGTTGAGAACCACTGATCTAGACCTACCCAGTTCCTGCCACCGTTCTTCATATGTTTTAGCCTCCAGTCCTCTGATCATCTTTGTTGCTCTTCTCTGCACTCTGTTCGATACAGGTAGTCCTCAGTTTGTGGCCATTTTGTTTACGGACCATTGGAAGACACAGCAGCACTGTATCCTCACATTTAACGACGGTTGCAACATCCCCAGGGGTCACGTAATCCAAATTAGGTGCTTGCCAACTGGGTGTATGCAGTATGGCGCCCCAGGGTTACGTGACACTCCCCCCCACCCCCCCACCCCGCCCCCGCTTCTGACTAATGAAGTGGGGGGGGGGAAACACACCAAGATTTGCTTAATGACTGCACAATTTGCCTAACAAATGCTGCTGTGATTTGCTTAACAATCCTGGCAATAAAATTAGGCATGGCTGACTTAACAGCCGCCTTGCTTAGCCAAATGGAAATTTGGGTCCCGATTGTGATTGTAAATCAAGGGGCTACCGGTATTTCTGCTGGCCAGTTTTATTTTCCCTCTCTCTTTCTCTCCCTTCTTGGGGAAAGCCAAGTTTGTTTGTTTTTTTAAATTTCCAAGCAAGACTAGAGGGGCGGAGGGAGGACGGAAGTGATGAGAACAAGGCCTTGATCTCTCAGTGCCTGAAAAATATTCCTTTTTTCGCCTGCCAGCTCGCTGGCGGGTTGGCGCTTTGTCTGACTTAACGGCAGGACACACCGTGTTGTGTTTTATTTTTAGCCCGTTCTGCATCAGTAATTAACGTGTCCTTTTCGCCCCGTTCCGTCTCACGGCAGGCCGTGGAAAGAGAGAAGACTTGGAGGCTGTTCGGTTCCTAAACCTGACGTGTTGCTAAAATTTATTCCACCTGGAATGTGGCAGGAGAAATAAATAAATGTTGATTTGCTTTCTATGATGGGTGGCTTTGCTTCTCAAACCCAAGAACACCCCCCCATTCGACAACAACAACAAACAACAACAATAATCACCATCAACAACAAACAATAATATAAGAAGAAGAAGAAGAAGAAGAAGAAGAAGAAGAAGAAGAAGAAGAAGAAGAAGAAGAAGAAGAAGAAGAAGAAGAAGAAGTAGCAGTACAAGTAGCAGTAGCAATAGCAATAGCAGTAGCAGTAGCAGTAGTAAGGGACCTTGGAGGTCTTTTAGTCCAACTCCCTATTATACCATTTCAGACAAATAATAGTCCAGTCTCTTCTTAAAAATTTCCATTCTTGGAGCATTCACAACTTCTGGTGGCAGGTTGTTCCACTGGTTATTTGTTCTAACTGTCAGGAAATTTCTCCTTAATTCCAGATTGCTTCTCTCTTTGATCAGTTTCCAACCATTGTTTCTTGTCCTGCCCTCTGGTGCTTTGGTGAATAATGTGACCCCCACTTCTTTTTGGCTGGAGCATTCACAACTTCTGGTGGCAGGTTGTTCCACTGGTTAATTGTTCTAACTGTCAGGAAATTTCTCCTTAATTCCAGGTTGCTTCTCTCATTGGTCAGTTTCCAACCATTGTTTCTTGTCCTGCCCTCTGGTGCTTTGGTGAATAATGTGACCCCCACTTCTTTTTGACTGGAGCATTCACAACTTCTGGTGGCAGGTTGTTCCACTGGTTAATTGTTCTAACTGTCAGGAAATTTCTCCTTAATTCCAGGTTGCTTCTCTCTTTGAATAGTTTCCAAGCATTGTTTGTTGTCCTGCCCTCTGGTGCTTTGGTGAATAATGTGACCCCCACTTCTTTGTGGCAGCCCCTCAAATACTGGAACGCTGCTATCATGTCACCCCTATTTCTTCTTTTCTTTAGACTAGCCAAACCCAAGTCCCGCAGCCGTTCTTCCTATGTTTTAGCCTCCAGTCCCCTGATCATCTTTGTTGCTCTTCTCTGTACTTTTTCTAGAGTTCTTTTTGAATTTGTAAAGAAAAGATAGCAAATGGAAACCTGGTTCTGCCCCAAACCAAGTTAATTGGACTAAAATCAGAAGAAGAAACAGGAAAACCAACAGCATGTGAACGAGCAAAAATGGCTTAAACTAGGTACCGGTGTTCTTACCCTAAAATCTGGAATGAATTCTGTTTTTGTCTCAATTTTATTCAGAATGTGCTTGTCGTGGCTTTGTGTTTCTAGGAAAACTTTAGCCGGTTCATGAACTTATAACTGCCTGGAAAAATCTGGGAAAACATTTCTTCGTATCTTTTTTTTTTTTTTTTTTGCTATTTTCTTTCTTTTTTTTTTAATTGAAAATTTTTGCAGTTTTACAATAAAATAATCCCCCTCTCCCACCCACCCCTCCCACCCATCATCCTCCCCCCTTCTTCCCAGAGCTGAATACAGGGTTAATAAAAACTAAAAAAAAAACCTTACAAGTTAAATAAACATTAAACAATTATAAATACATTCAAAAAAACAACAAAATTTTAAATACTTTAACTTTTTAATATATAAAAACAAAACAAAACAATAGTTCTAATCGTTACCTTAAACATAAATTATTCAAAAGCTAGATAATACTTTTTAATCTTATATTTGTGCTGTATAAAATTCACCCATCTTTTCCACACCCAAAAATATTTCTCTTGCGATTGATCTTTCAAATAAGCCGAAATTTTTGCCATTTCAGATAAATAAGAAACTTTAAGAAACCATTCCTCTAAAGTAGGCAAAAAATCCTTCTTCCAGTATTGCCCTATCAGCAGCCTTGCTGCTGTAATTAAATTCAACATTAAAATAATTTCTTTATCATCACAATCAACAATAATACCTAACAAAAACAATTGTGGTGTAAATTTTATCCTTCTATTAAAATTTTTTGAATATTCCACCAAATCTTAATCCAAAAAGCCTTTATATTTTTACATGACCACCAAATATGATAATACGTTGCATCCAAACAACCACATCTCCAACATTTAGGCTGCAGATTTGGATACATACGAGACATCTTCTGTGGATCAAGGTGCCACCTATAAAACATTTTGTAAACATTTTCTCGTAAATTTTGAGCTTTTCTTACACTCTTTTGCTTTCCCTTCTTTTTCTCTTTTCTTCCTTGCTTTATATTAGTTCGTATTGAGTTTTGATTGTCTCTTCTAAACGGCATGCAAAGGTGGTTTATCTGGATGTGTCGGTTGATGGCTGAACCACATTCTTTACCCACACTGACAGGACAAGCTGCTTTAGATGGGTGAATCTATCTATTATCTACCTACTTATCTATTAGAAATGAAGTGGCACTCCTTGCTGTTTTTTGAGATCAACCCTTAGTAGCTCCCCAAAATAGGCTTTGGAAAAAAA